CCCCCGCCGACCCCACCCGGGCATTTAGCAGATTCTAGCGGATGGTAAGTGCGCAATACTTGTTTGGTGAGTGAGTGGAGCGGATAAATGGATGAATGGACCCTAAATTCACCATGACGAGGGTCATCGTGCCCTTCACCCCTCCTCCTGTGAGGAGGGTCCCCTTACTTCTCCGCAGCCTTTGAGAGGCAGAAGGCGGAGCTGGGAAAGTGTCCGCAGGGAAGTACCTCAGAGAGGGGAGGTGACGCAGAGCTCAGCCCCTTCCCAGGAAGGTGGAGGGGCGCACTGTGTGTCCTGTGCCGAGTGGGACGAGAGGGGCTGTAGGAGCCACACCCACGGTGTCTGAGTGGCCCGGGGCGAGTAAGCCAAGCCATAGACGGCAGCATTTACCTTGAAGGATTCCTTCAGTCTCTGGGGCAGGAGCTTCAGGCACTCCTCAGCAGTCACGAAATGCCTGGCCAGGTTGTTTTTCGGAAGAACCTGGGCCTGAGGTGGCGTCACTTGTGGTCCATTCGTTCTAGCACCTGAAAGGATCGCGGAGGTCAGAGCCTGCCGTCGGGGGTGTGCCGCCTCCTACCTCCACCTCAACGCTGAGCTCTCCCGCCCGAGTCCTGCAAAACACACCGCATGGGGTTCGGCGCTGGGCACTGAACACACGTGAACTTCGCTGGGCCCGGGGTCCTGCTCCTCAGTGTCTCGCTTTCCTATCGTTACGGGAGGAACTTGTTCCAGACCGGCGGGGCCAAGCCGTGGTCCAGCGCGTACTGACCTCCGCCCCGCGGGCCCTGCTTCTAGTCCTCCCTCCCCCGGGCAGGGATGCCCATCGTCCGCCCGCATCCCTGCCTGAGCCCAGGACTGTGGAATTCAGGTGACATTCGTTAATTCGACCGGCATTTCCTGACCGCGCACCTGCCGGACACTGTGCTCAGTCCTTCCAGCAGCCCTGACGGGAAGAGTCTCCTCTCAAGCCCAGGTTACTATTAAACCACAAGCTATCATCATTCCACCGTACGAGAGGAGAGGGGGGCTCAGGGGGGCCCCAGCTCCCCCGAGGGCATGACCTCCACAGCTTTTCTCCAGGGCTCATTCGTCTCTCGATTTCCCCCCCACGTGAAGCAGCAGCGTCAGTGGGGGGGAGAGAGGACGCGGCCCGAGGCGGCGGCTGCAGGCCTTCCTCGGTCTGCGGGGCGCGGCCGGAGAGCAGACTGAGGAGCCGGGGCAGCAGGACTCAGCTTGGGGCCCTGACCGCACGTGCAGGACACATTTCCTCACGACTGCCTGGAAGGGGAGAGGAGAGGGACGGGGTCCGGGTGGTCTTGGGCAAGCCCCTGCACCTTACAGACGCTCTGTCCCTGTCTGCCAAAAGCGGGGAAGGACAGCGGTCTGGCGCGGGTGCGGGTGTCGTTCGCCGCAGATGACCAGCAAGGCTTTCCTCTTTCGGAAGTGGACTACCAAAGCGCACAAGGTGTGATTCAAGGCTCACGAGGCTTCGGGGTAAATGCTACAAACCATTTTTGCTCTAAGTCTGTAGAAGTCTCTGTCAGGCAAACGTCTGCACTCACAACTAAGCTTAACTTGGAAAAAAAAAAAAAAGCTAAAACGCAGTCAGATAAAGTTAAACAAAAACGTCTGTTCCAGCCTGAGAACAAACACTGTGCCAACATCTGGGCTCTCATGACGTCAGCCCCGGCAGCGGGGGCACAGCTCCGACTGGCGGTGCCACCCGTGGAGACCCGCCCCGGCAGGGTGTGCACCGGGTGACGAGCTACCTTCAAATCCTGCTGCCAAGTCCAGGTAGCTCATCCCTTCTTCCTTATAGCCTATGCTTGCAGTCAGCTGAGCAAACTGACGGTCGTCCATGGGCAGCCCGCTGTCTTCCAGCATCTGGCGGGGGGGAGACAAGTGAGGGCGAGGCGGTCAGGGTGCCCAGGTCCCTGCCAGGCCTCCGGCCCGGCAGCCCGCGCTCCAGCCTGCGATCTTTACTGTCAGCCCACCACAGGCTCCTGCGTGCAGGCCCGGGTGTCCTGGGTCCCTGGCCCAGCGCAAGGTTTGTTGGTTGAGCCAGTGAGCAAACGAAGGGGCAGGCGGGCGCCTGCCCGGGGCTCTGTGGGCGGGGATTCGGGGCTGCAGGCAACACCGCAGGCTTTCTAGAGGCCCGGCCAGCCGTTACCCAGGTTCACACGTGCTGTGGCTGCCGTGGCTTTCGAGTCTCATAAGTTAGATTTATATTCACACATTCCCTGGGAAACATGAACAAAATAAAGCAAGGCAGCCTGAGGAGGAAAAACTAACATTTTGATTAAAGTTTCATTATGGTCGGCAGTTTACACTGCAAGCTGGTTTGGGGGGCACCCACGGCACTCCTTTTTCTCCCCTTAGGCAAATCCACTCAGTGACCGCCATCCAGGACCCCTTCGCCCCACCATGCAAAGCTGCTGCTTCCAGCTTCCGGCTTGTGTATGTGTGTGTGTCGGGGGGTGGCAATCATCCAACGACACTGCCCTAGGAGGTGGCCAGTCAACAACCCAGGCAGGGCTACCTGCCTAGAGGTGAGCCCCTAGAAGTGATGCTGGGGGACACAGGTGGGAAGAAGACACCATCCCTGCTGCTCTCAAAGTATTTGTAATGTAAATGAGAAAACATGGCTTTTGTTCTAGAAAAAGGACAGAGAGTCACAGTTCAAAACATGTCTGGATGTCTACGTGTCACCACCGTCATCACCGGATGTCCAGGATGACGCCCCACCCCCTCGCCAGGGCATACAAAGGAAAGCTGTCTGGGAGAGCGGCATCTGGAGATGGGTTTTGATGGGGAACACACAGATCAGCTGTTAACTAATGTCAGGGGTCCGATGCCACAGGAAGTCAGAGAAAGTTAGAGAGCCAGGAAGAGCAGGTTCAGCACTACACTGACTGCATTCTATGGAGAAAGCTAAACGGGAGAAAGAACACAGTAGGAAGAAGTGAGACAGTGCACTTCACCATCAGCATCAGCATCATCACCATCAGCATCATCACCATCACCACCACCATCATCATCACCATTACCGCCTTCATCACCATCGTCACCATCATCACCATCATCGCCATCATCATCACCATCACCATCATCACCATCATCGCCATCATCATCACCATCACCATCGTCACCATCACCATCGTCACCATCATCACCATCATCGCCATCATCATCACCATCATCACCATCATCACCGTCATCGCCATCATCACCATCATCGCCATCGTCGCCATCATTGCCATCATCATCACCATCACCATCGTCACCATCATCACCATCACCACCATTATCACCATCATCACCATCACCATCGTCACCATCATCACCATCACCGCCATCATCATCACCATCACCATCATCACCATCATCGCCATCATCATCACCATCACCATCGTCACCATCACCATCGTCACCATCATCACCATCATCGCCATCATCATCACCATCATCACCATCATCACCGTCATCGCCATCATCACCATCATCGCCATCGTCGCCATCATTGCCATCATCATCACCATCACCATCGTCACCATCATCACCATCACCACCATTATCACCATCATCGCCATCGTCGCCATCATCACCATCATTGCCATGATTGCCATCATCGCCATCACCATCGTCACCATCATCACCATCACCACCATCATCGCCATCATCACCGTCACCATCGTCGCCATCATCGCCATCATCATCGCCACCATCGCCATCACCACTATCACCATTACCACCACCATCACCATCACTATCACCACTATCACCATCATCACCATCACCATCATTGCCTTCATCACCATCACCATCATCACCATCATAGTCATCTTCACGTAGCAATGCTATGTGCCAGGCATTGTGCTGAGTTCTTCACAGGTGTTTTATAAGTCTCATTTAATCCTTATGATAAGCCTTGAGAAAGCCACTTTTACTAACCCCATTCTAGAGATGTGGAAACTGAGGCTTAGAGAGCTCAGGTGACTTGTCCCAGTTACATTATTAGGAAATGACAGACCTGGAGGTTCAAACTCAGTTCTTCTTATGAACCACTATGACAAACTCCACTATTGGAATAAGGTCACTGGGGAAGGTCTCTGCCATGGAGCCCAGGCACCCTCCCATGTATCGAAATAAGTCACATAGTTAGAGACTAACCTGGGTCTTGGTAGAAGACCTTGAGAAATCCCTGGAACACCGAGGATGGGAGCCTTTAGGGGTTGCTGAGAGACTGTCTCCCATTTCCCCCTATGTCCCTCGGGAGGCTGTCATGGCCAGTTTCTCCTTGCCCCCTGGGTTATGATGAGGGAGGGAGCCTTCTGCCCAGCCTCCTCACACTAGAGCTGCAGAACATGCACCCACTTAGCTGCAACAGGGCCCCCACAACCTGCAGAGCGGTTATCACCTTCTGTTTGGTGCCATCCTTTTTGGTGTGTGGGACTAGGGCCCAGGGAGCTAGCACCCTTGGCTGTTTACATCAGTAATAAGAGGAATACCACAGTACCTCATTGTATCTGCACCAGCCAGTTGGTCGAGCCCTAGAGTTGGCTGGGCTCGTGTGTGTGTGTGTGTGTGTGTGTGTGTGTGTGTGTGTGTGTGTGTGTGTGTGCACATGCGCATGCAAACAAGCCGCAGGATGTGCTCGGTGCAGGATTGGAAGCTGAGGAAAACGGAAGGGAATCCAGGTGTTGGTGCATTGCCTGGGGCCTCGAGGGGAGCAGCGCTGGATTCCAAGTCAATCCCAAGGGCTGCGTGGGGACTTGGGCAGGCTGTGCGTGACTGGGAATTCAGGCAGCTCTGTGCCATCTGCACACGTGCTCAGTCCCTGCTCTGCGGAGGAGCTTGTCCCAGCCGGGGATGGTGCAAGCATTCCGACAGAAAGCTGTGGCCCACGAGGAAGCAGCACTGGGTCTCTGAAACTGATAGATTGGTTGCTTTCTTTGAAAAGTAACTTTATAGTTTGAAAACAATTACACATGAATTATTCATCGCAAATTCCTCCTGCTCAGCCCTTTCATAAAAACATATGCAATGGAGAGTAAGAAAGTGTCTGTAGGTGAACGTGTCACAGCGTGGAGGGTCGTGAGGCGTGGCAAGGTGGGGGTGCCACAGGGGGCCTGGCCAGGGGTGCGGCGTGTGATCCCCTCTGGGCACAGTGCATCTGGAAGGACCCAATGCCAGGGCGTGCCACCTCCAGGAGAGGCGCGGAGCCTCTCGCGAGCATCACTGCCTCTGTGCAATGCCTCCCCCAAGCTGCTTCATCTCTAAGGTGACCACAGCCGCAGATCAACTAGGCTGATCCCAGCCCTAGAGGCAGCTCGCAGTAAAGCGCAAGGCTAAACTGCGCCATTCATAAAGCAGATTCTGAAATGTTTAACCATTAGTCTTTCCCAAGCGGCATGTCCCTGAGAAAGTTCCTCAGAGTGACGACCTGTGGCCTGGCATGTTCCGATTCGCCACAGTCACTCTGCCTCCCCGGGGATGCCACTGGGACTGTAGACGGGCTCTTCCTCGAGAGGCCGTGACAATCCACGGGATTGATGGGGGCTCTCGGAGAAGACAGGCGTCCCACTGCACCGCCCGGGTTCCTTCTGAGCTCACGCTCCTTGCGGCCGAGACAACTGGAAGCTGAGTGAGTGACTCTGCGTTTCGCAGCCCAGCTACCGCGGAGCCCCCGGGGGAACGGCCCCGGCTCTCCGTGGGTGAGTAACGCGGGTTTGCGGGGCCTCCGCATCACTCCGTTGGTAGCTGCTCTGAGGATGACAATATATACCCTTAACTTTTCACAGTCCGGTTAGTGTTAATATTGAACCACGTCAGATAAAATGCAGAAAACTCGCAACCGCACGCGTCTTTACCGCCCCGTCCTTTATGCTGATGTTTTACATGTACCTCTGGTATAAGAACCCCGAGACAGTGTTATAACGTTCACCCTAAGCTCTCCTGCGCATTCCTTTTAAATTAAGAAAAGTGGCTTGTATGCGTCATCGGTTATTGACCATTTCCAATGTTCTTCCTCCCTCACAACATCTGAGTCCCACCTGGTTTCAAACTCCTTCGACCTGAACCGCTTCCTCGCACGTTTCTTATGGTGAAGATCTGCTTGCAGTAAATTATCTCTGCTTCCTTGTGTCTCAAAACATCTTTATTTCCCCTTCATCCTTAAAGGAGACTTGCTGGCTGTAAATTCTGAGCGGAGAGACTTTTTGTGTCCCTTGCAGCATGTTAAGGGTGCTGTCTCCCCGCCTCCGGCCTCCGTTGTTCTGAGGGGTGGCGGGTGGGAATTCTGTTTGTAATGCGTCACTTTCACATGCTGCTTTTAACATTCCTCTCTTTGATTCTGGCTTTCAGCAGCGATTTTGTTTGTATTTGTCTAACTTGGGTTTTCTGAGCTTCTTGAATATACATTTAGCTCTTTCACTGAAAATTGGGAAATTTCAGCCATGAAAATATTAAGATGATGGTAGCAATAAAACCAACCGTATCAGTCATTAAGTAAATGTAAAATGGACTGAACTCTCCAAGTAGCAGACTAAGTCTGTGACACTATCTTTTAAAATGTAAGCTGGAAAGTCTGAAGTAAAAGGACAGAAAAGTACATTCTGTGCTAATGCGGATCAAAGGAAAGCTGAAGTAACTATGTTATTATCAGGTAAAAAATAGGCTTGAAGACAAGCAGCAATACTCTGTATCCAGAGAGTCCTATCCTAATGATAAAGGAGACTACTCACGGGAAGTTTCAGTGCTCGGCTGTACCCAATAATTTAGCTTCAAAGCAAATAAAGCAACAATCAACAGAATAAAAGACGAATGTTGCCGGACGGATCCACGGTCCACCTGAATATGCTCCTCTCAACAGCTAATGGAATGAGCAGGCAGACACGTGATGAGGCTAGAGAAGTTCTGAAAAACACGGCTAATAAAATCAGCCTAAGTGACATACTTAGAAAATCGAAGGTCCATGAGGCAGTGAGCACACCTTTTCAAATGCTTACGGAACATTTGTCAAAACTGTCTACAAGTCAGGTCATGATCCAAGCCTCAACATTCAGAGGACTGCCTGATGTCATTTAGACTTTAGACTCTATTCTCTCATCACAGTGGAATCAACGTTAAAACTGATAATAAAAGGTAAACTAGAAAATCCCATCTGTTTGGAAGTTAAACAATACGCTTTTAAAATAAACCATTGGAAAAAGAATAAATCATGAGGGAAATTATAAAATAGCTTTAACTGAATGATAATAAGAAGATGATCTACCAAAACTTGCACAATGTGGCTAAGCCTGTACCTAGAGGTCAATGCATAGCCATCAATTCATACATTAGAGAAATAAAGGCTGCACAGCAATGATCTAACATTTTATCTCCAGAAATTAGAAAAAAAAAAAGCAAAGTAAATCCCAATCGAGTAGATGGGAGAAAGTAATCAAGGTAATGGCAGAAATAAAGAAATATAAAACAAACATACAAAAAACCAACAACAATACAAATAAAGTTGTTACTAATAAAACTGACAACTGCTTCTGAGTAGGACAGAGTAGTTCACAGCAAGCAAACACTCTCAATGAAAAAAAAAACCTGAGAAAGCCCAATTGATTACAAATAATAAAGAGGCATCAGAGAACCAAGGAAGCCGTGCTGTCTAAAGAGATTGAAATTCCAAGGTGAGAAGGACCCTTCAGAAGCGAACTGAGGCTATGCAACTGTATTTCCCCTGGGAACAGCTGAGGATTCTGGGAGTGGACTTGGGCTGAGAAAGAGAGTTGGGCCAGGCAGAGGGTCACGCCAGCAGAGCGTGCGCCAGGTATGTAGTGCTAGCATCTCTAATCTGGAGACGCAGTGGGCAGGCTCAAATCAGGACTGGTTCCCCTTCCACAGCTGTGCTGACCTCTGGAACTTGGGGCCCAAAAAGGGCGAGTGTGAGGAGATGACCCTGCGCAGGTCTCACTCACTCTCTGGGTCTCTGCCCTTGTGTGGATATGTGCGTCTCTTACTATAAAACTTTCTGTGGGTCCCTCATTCCCTTATTTTTGTTTTTCCCCCTCACAAAACTGACCATGATGCATAATGAAGTTTATGTTTAATTTACCAGAATTGTATGCTTCCAGAGAAAATTTAAAACCAGATGAATTAAAATATTTAATGCTTGACTTTTTATAACAATGTCATTTGCCCAGAGTCACCACAGTCACTTAGCTTGCTTGTCCACACCTGAGGGCTAGCAGAGGCCGGCTGGTGTCCAGGGGCTCAGTTTACAGCAGGTCCCTGCCTCCCACGTGGGGAAGGCTGTATGTGGTGAGGGAGCGATGGCAGTGGGGTGGGAAGGGTGCAGATTCTCGCGAAGTGCAAGGGGCACTCTGCTGGGAAGAAGGAACACTCACCCTCCTGAGCAAGGCCCAGAGTCCCCACCTTGGAGCACGTGAGAAGTGAGGCACCAAAAGCACAAAGAATCTGGGATGCTGGGCTGGGCTGTTAGACACCTGCTTCCCTAATGCACGGCCTGTCCTGCGGGGACGCTGTAGGTTTGCTGATGAGCTCAGCAGCCCCGTGTCTGTCCCCAGAGGCCTCAGCTGGGACATCATAGAGGGGACAGAGAAGAGCAGGGAGCTACACAGGGTGGGGGTAAGAGTTGAAGGCACTGAGTGGCTGGGTCCTGCGAGGTCTTCTCGGCCTTCTCTGACTCTAGTTTTTATCCCAGTGAGATGGGAGCCCTTGGGGGTTCCAAGCAGGAGTGGCCCCCTCTGACTGACATGGTGGGGGGCCCTCCTGGTCTCTGGGCTGAGAATAAGCTGTATCGGGGCAAGGTCAGGAGCAGAGGGCAGTGAGGAGGCTGCCGGAATGACCCAGTGGGAGGTGATGGTGGGCGGCAGTGGGGTGGGAGCAGTCACTAGACTCTGGGCACTCACTGGGTTCCGGGACAATTCTCGAGGGAGCCAACAGGCCATGCCGGTGAACCGGATGTGGGTATGAGAGGAAAAGGAGAGTCCGGAAAGAGTGCACGATTTTAGCCCCGAGCCTCTGGAAAAGAGGTCGCCCTGACCGAGAAGGTAGGGGTGGCTGGCAGGACGGCTCTGGTGAAAATCCGGGCATTTCTCAGACACCACAAGAAGACGTCACATAGGCAGGTGGGCACCTGGGATCCGAGCTTCAGGAGGGGGGTCTGGGAGGTGAGGTAGAGTCGTGGACAAGGGACTCACTGGCTTATCGAGGGCAGACAAAGCCTTGAGGTGGGAGAACCTGCAGCTGAGCTGACAGGCGTGAAGGTTGTCAGGTGAGCAGAGGTAAGAAGGTGCCCTCGGAGTCGTGGCCACGGGCCCCAGTCCAGCTTTGCCACCACCCACTGCCCTTCCCTAAGGTGGCCGCTGTCTGTCTCTGAAAGATCAGAAGCAGAGTAGTGGATCCCCAGTCTCCTGGGAACCTACGAACAGGCTATAAATCAAGGTCCTGAGCACTGTGATCCTCCGAGGCCTTGACGCATCAGGGGACCGGTGCCAGGTCCTGGGGGCGATGGAATCTGGGACCTAGACTCTGGGACAAGGCACCCTGAGAGTTAGATGACTTGTGCCCATTTGCCACCACTCACCCCACTGAAGTGGCTCTCATCAGACTTATCAATGACTGACCATCTGCCCCTTGGCCCCTCACACCGGAATCTGGGGACCATCCTCGCATCTTTCCTCTTCTGGGGGTGCTGCCCTCGCTCCCAGGCCTTTCCCGAATCTACCCTCTTCACCGCGCCCCACGTGCTCACATAACCTCAGGCCTCCCCATGCCGTTCTGTCCACGAGGGGAGGTCCGGGCCGACTCAATAGCCATCTGACCCCCTGCGCCGCCAGCCCGTCCTCCCCGACCCGTCCTCGGGCTGCTGCGGCCGGGGCTTGGACCGATGTGCGAGCGCCCAGCACAGCGTCCGGCCCGGCGCAGGCACCGGACAGCAGCAGCCCCTGACACAACGATTCCCTTCTTGGACTTCGTCGCCTTCCTCTGAATGTGCGCGCACGGGCCGGCTACGTACCGCCGGACGCTTTCCTTACGAGAGCCGAAGGTGGTTACCTGGAGGCATCGTCACGGGGACTTTAAGCCGTCGTTTAAGTTAATTTTTGAGAAGTCTGCGCGGAGCCCTTCGAGTGCGGCCCTCTCTGGCAGAGCCCCGCCAGTTCCCGTAGCGCACGTGGATCGGCCTCCGGTTCAGTGCCAGCCCCTTTCTCACTTTCAGGGGAGCAAACCCCAGCGCTGCC